GCTGGGTGTTTGGGGAGGTGTCAGTCACTCAGGCAGTGCCAGGGAGAGGTCAGGAGGAGGAAGAGGAGGAAGAGGAGCATCCAGCCCAGGGAGGGGTCAGGAGGAGGAAGAGGAGCACCCAGCCCGTGCAATGCCCACCCAGGCAGGAGGGGGTGCAGGAACAGGAGAAGCCATGTCCCCCTGTGTCCTGCCATGTCCCCCTGTGTCCTGCCATGTCCCCCTGTGTCCCCCTGTGTCCCGCCGTGCCCCGTTGGGCACAGGGCTCCTTACTCAGCACGCCCAAGGCCAGGCCCCCCAGCGCGGTCCCCATGGCTCTGCCCCTCTCTGAGTCGTCCGGGTAGACGCTGGCCAGCAGCCCCAGGCCTGGGGGCACACACAGAGCCCACCTCAGCCCGGCTGGGTCTGTGGGGGGCTCCTCTCTGCAATCTGGGGTTTTAGGGGGGTTCAGGGCTGGGTGCAGTGAGGAGGACACAGCCAAGGGGAGCTGATGCAGGCACTGAGGTGCAGCCAAAACCTTCACCTGCCACCGAGGAGAAGGAGGAGCCGATGCCTTGGAGGGCTCTGGCGATGAACAGCAGGGTGTAGGTGCCTGAGAAAGCAAACACTGCACAGGGAGGGGAGAGCTGAAACCCTCAGCACAGGGCAAGGCTGGCCCCAGCTGGCACTGGAAGGGGTGAGAGGGCAGAGACATCGTCCTTGTCACCCTCTCCTGAGCCTGGGGCCCTGCTCTGTCCCTTCTCAGGTGGTTCTTTGTGCAGGTGGGGAGGGTGATACTCACTGACTGTGGACAGGAACAGGATGGTGAAGCCCAGGAACATGGGGATGTGGTATCCGATCCTGGAATGGGAAAAAAGGAGGCCCCAGCTCAGGAGGGCTCCTCGTTCCCCCCCTGGGAAATTTCTGTGGGTGGGAAGCAGCTCCTGAGGGGGTGATGTGCCCCAAGTGCTGCTCAGAGGGAGCCCCAAAAACTCTGCAAAGCCCCCCGGGGACACAGCTCAGCCCACGTGCCTGCCCCAGCACAGCTCAGCATCTGCAGGAGAGAAAGAAAACCCGAAAAGAACATTTTATCCGAGCACAGCAGTCTGGGAGGCTGTGTTTGTTTGTGGTTGCTGGTGTTAAACAGCATCTGCCAGCACCTGAGGAGAGCTTTAGCGAGCTTTATGTGGGACATAAACTCACAAGCCATGTGCAGGCTGTTAGGAAAGGTGACATTCCTGCCATTTGGATGGATATATTTCACCTCTTGCCGTTTCCCTCCCGGCAATCCCCGCAATTCCAGCAGCAGGCAGGAGCCGAGGAATCTCACGGAATCGCAGGAACCGCCGGGCTCTGACCTACCTGTTGGTCAGCACACCCACCCAGGGGTTGACCAGCAGCTGGACCAGAGCCTTGGAGGCGAAGAGCAGCCCCACTCGGGTGTTCTCCTGGGCCAGGAACTCCCCACCCTGCAGGCAGCCCCTGGCGGGGGGTCCTGGGGGGCTGCTCCTCGTCCCATTCCCGGCGCTGGTGAAGCCCCGAACGGGCACGGTGGTGGTGTCAGAACCGGAGAAAGGAGGAGCCCCGGGGGCTGCGGGAGTTGGCTCGGGCAGGGTTGGGCTCACGGAGCTCTTGGCACCTTCGTACTCGGTCATGTAGAGGAAGGTGGGGACGATGGGTACTGGAAAAAAGCCGGGGAAGGGATGAGGGAGGGATTTTCCTGCTGTTCCTGGCTGAACTGAGCGGGGCTGGCCAGGTTGGGGGTCCTGGAAGGTCACCTGAGCAGGGACCCGCTGGCATCACCCAGGGACCGATGGAGAGGAGCACCCAGGGCAGCCCCACAGCGACTGCCCCAAAGAGCCCCACATTTTACCCATGAGACAGCCCCAAAAAACCCCACATTTTACCCATGAGACAGCCCCAAAAAACCCCACATTTTACCCATGAGACAGCCCCAAAAAACCCCACACTCTACCCATGAGACATCCCCACACTTTACCTCGAGATAGCCCCAAAAAACCCCAAACTGAGCCCCCAGGCAGCCCCACAGGACCCCCCCAGTGTCCCCCCGAGCCCCAGCCCGTACCCACAACAGTGAGCAGGATGTTGTCCAGCAGCAGAGCCACGAACACCACGGCCAGCACCAGCCTGGGCGAGGCCCTGCCCGTGGCCAGCCAGTGCTGGGACATGGCCAGGGACACGGCCAGGGGCACAGAGCTCGGCCAGGGTCCTGCAGGCTCCTGGGCTCAGGGGTCAGGGCCTCCAAAAAACCTGCCCAGAGAACATTCCAGGTTAAACTTCCCACGGGTCACGGCTTGTCCCTTGGGAAAGCAGCTCAAGGGGTCACTCAGTGTGTGCCCAGGATCCCTGTGCTGTCCCCAGGGTCTGGGTGCCATTCCCAGGGTCTGGGTGCCATTCCCAGGATCTGGATGTTTTTTTCTCTCAGGATCTGTATGGTTTTTTTTCCCCAGGATCTAGATGCCGTTCCACAGGGTCTGGGTGCTCTTCTCAACATCTGGGTGCTGTCCCCAAGAGTTGAGTGCTTTTCCCAGGATCTGTGAAATTTCCCCAGGAGATGGAACCACCAGCTCCTCTATCAAACTGAAATCCCAGGCGATGGGAATTGCCAGATTTTAATTACAAAAAGCAAACACTCCAAAAGCTTTATCATCACGGGGAAGGTGCCACACCTGGTGGAGAACAGGGCTGGCTTCTCAAGCAAGTACCAAACCCCAGAATTAATGCAGAGGAATATAAACACAAATAAATTCACGACAGAGAAAGCAGAGGCAATAAAGACACGATTGTCCAGCACAAACCCTGTCCCCTTTCTCTGCCGTGGGGAGCAGAGGAAAATGTTCTTACCCCGGCACCCATCCGAGGGTGGAGCCGCTGCCGCCGCCTGGCCGAGCTCTGCTCCGCCGGGATTTACGATTCCCGGTTATCAGGAGACGAGAGGAGTGTCCCTGCTTTCATTGGAACCTCACAGGGCTGTCCTGGAGCGTCAGCAGGGCTGGCCCGAGGGCTGCCAGCGGGGCAGGAATGTTTATCCTCACTGCCAGCTTCCAGCAGGGCTGATCCTTCCCTGAGCACCGGGATCGGGGCACCTGGACCTGGATCCTGGAGATCTCGGGGATCCCTGCCTGGATTGGGGCACCTGGACCTGGATCCTGGAGATCTGGGGGATCCCTGCCTGGATTGGCGCACCTGGACCTGGATCCTGGAGCACCAGGATTATTCCTGCCTGGATCGAGGCACCTGGCCTGGGATCCTGGAGCTCTGGAGGATGTTGGGACCAGCAGTTTTTGGTCTCTCCTCGCCTCAGCGCTGTCTCCTGCCCATGGGATGCTCTCCATGGCTTTTCCCGGTGCTGTTTTCCTGCCTGGCCCAGCCAGGCTGGTTCCTCCTAGGCACAGCTGGGTGGAAAATCCCCTCACACCTCACAGGATTTTGCTCTTTCCTTCCATCATTTCTGTTTTCCTAAACTTCTGACACTTGGCTCCATGATTTCCCTTTTCAACCCCAAACCATCACTATCCTTCATCTAGGACACGGAGATTTACTGCAAGGAGAGGGAATAAATCTGAAATATATTCACCTTTCCTCCTCTGGCACATAAATTTTTGGCTGGGGCCATTCATCTGCCTCCTGCCTGGCCCCAAAACCATCGCCAAGAACGGCAGATGAGATTCCCTGCCCGGGGAATTCCCTGGGCGAGCATTAGAGCGGGAGTTGAAGTCTTTAAATGGATTTCAGGAGTGGAGAATTGAACTGGAAATTGCTTTCCCGGGGTCTGGAGCTGAGGCGGGGCATGAGCGGGGCAGCAGCACCATCTGCTGCGGGAGCCCGGAGCTGCCGAGCCGGGAAGTTTTGGTTTCTCTCTGCTTCGTTGCTCCCCCAGTCAGCCCAGAATCACCCAGATCTCTTTGCAGACCTTTCCCAAAATATTTCCCATTCTGAGCCAGCAGGAGGGAGGGGATTGATTTAATCCCCAACCCGTTCTGTCTCATTGCTCCACCTTTCTGCCTTTCTTTCCCTTTTACTTCCTTTTGTTTTTTATCCTTCTTTTTCACTATTTCCCCGTCTCTTATTATTTTAAACGTTTTCTCTTTTGATCTTATTTCCTTTTCCTTATTTTCCTCTTCCTCTTTTCTCTTGCCTTTTTTCCTTTTCCCTTTCCCCTTTTGAATTTTCAGTTTTTTATTCTTTGCAATTAACCCCTTTTTTTCCTCTTCCTCTTCCTCCTCTTCAGTTTCCTCTTCCATTTCTCTTTCCTTTTCCTCTTTTCTCCTTTTTTTCCTTTTCCTTCTCAGGACCTGGGACAGCTCCGGCCCCGCCCCTCACCACCAGTGGGCGTATCCCGAGCGTGGGTGGGCGTGTCCCGTGCGTGGGTGGGCGTGTCCCGTGCGTGGGTGGGCGTGTCCCTGCCCGCGCTATACCCGCGCACGCGCGGCCGCCCCCTTCACAGCCGGTCCAACATGGCGGCGGTGCGGGCGCTGCGCGGGGCCGTGAACGGCGCCGGGCCCGGCGGGCCCCGCGAGCAGGCGGCGGCGCTGACCCGAGACTTCCTGTCCCAGCCGCGCCTCAGTGAGTGCGGGGGAGCCGGGGGGACCCGGGGGGCTGCGGGGAGGGGGCTCAGCCCGACCCGGCCCGGCTCGGGAGCCGCAGCCCCGGGCGCGGACAGGCCGCAGCCGTGGGTTCGCCCACCCCTCAGAGCAGGCTGGGCTCGGGTTGTAATTAATCACCGCAATTAACCGGGGGATTTGGGCAGCCCAGGCCGCTGATGGCGCGGCTGTCGCGTGTCCTTCCCGCAAAGCCGGGGTTTGTACCGAGAACGGGAAATGGGAGGGTGGGATGGAGTCTGTTCTGGAACACTGAATTGAGAAATTGGGTGAAAAAGGGGAAATGCGGCGCTGTGGTAAAATCCCTTCACGGCAGCTCAGTGGACAGAAATCAGAGTGTGTGAAGGTGATTGTTCTGTCAGCAATGACACAAAATGGCTTTACCTGTGCCCTGAGTAGCACCAGGACCTGGGGTGCTGCCCAGCAGCTTCTGGGTCACGGATCCTTTGAAAATACCCATCAGGTTTGGATGCCAAATCCATCACTGCAATTCCGGGCCTTTATTCTGAAGCCAAGGTGACTCCAGGTTTTTCCATGTAGGTTCTGGCTTTTCCCTGAACTGGCACGGAGCTGGGGATGGAAAATGTTCTGGGTTGTTTTTGGTTCGTCATGGAACTGGTGGAGAGGGTGATGAGGAAGGAGCGCTCATGAGACGGTCATGGGGTGAAATGCCTCATTCAGGGTCAGGTTTTCCAGGGCTCGTGGCTGCAAATCCTCAGGCTCTGAGCTGGTCCTGAGCTGATTCCTCCTCCTCCATAATCCTGGAGGATTCTCCCTGCTCAGGGTACAGGAGCAGCCCGGATGCTGCTGCTAATTAGGAGTAATTAACGGACAGGTTTCTGTCTCAGGGTGTTGAGAAGGATCGTAGGAGTAAAACTGAGTTGAAGCCCAGCTCCCCTGACCTGGAGCAGTTTGATTATTGCTCGTTAAGCTCTGACATTGCAACAGTTTCAGCTGTTTTATTGCTGGGTAAACACGGAGCTGTTGACAGTGCAGACAGAAGCTGGGGAGCTGCCAGGCCTGGGGTGGCCCTGGTGATTCCTTGGTGCTGCTGCAGGAATTTGGGATCCTGGCTGGGCTCTGCATGACCCCACTCTGCCATTTCCCCTTCTGTTCCAGTGAGGAACAGCCCCAGCTGCTCCTCGTGACCCTGAGGGAGCTCTGACTCAGGATTTCCTCCCTCTGGGGGTCAAGTGATGCTTTTACCCCGAGCTGACAGCAAAATCCTCCCTTGGAATCACAGAATCATGGAGTGGTTTGGGTTGGAGGGGACTTAGAGCCCATCCTGTGCCACCCCTGCCATGGGGACACCTTCTGCTGTGCCAGGGCCCCTCCAGCCTGAGCAGGGAATTCCTGCTGTGGGGAAGAAAACACTGGGATCACCTCAGAGTCACCTCCAGGGAGCAGGAAAACTGCTGGACACCCAATCCTGTTCCTAATAAACAGAAATCAGGCCCCAGGTCTGAGCCTGGTGATGGGAATGCAGTGGAAAATGGGATTTGGGATATTTGGGATATTCCTGACTCCTGCCTTGTGTTTTTTTTTCCAGCTTACAAAACCGTGTCAGGTGTGAACGGGCCCCTGGTTATCCTGGACCAGGTCAAGGTAAATTCTCAGCTGCTCATGGAGCTTTTGGAGGGAGAGTTGACAGGAAAAGCTGGGAAAGGTAAAATCCAGATTGCTGGGAAATTCCCCAGAGTGATTTGGATACATTTCTGACTTCTGGGATAAATGGGAGTGTGGAAATTCCCCCATCCAAGGCTGGAGAGTTGCTGGGCAAGGAAAGGAAACAGAGTTTGAGTTTTCCCAAAGCTCAGGAACGTTGATTAAATTCCAAGCTGAAATGAACCTGTTTGCTTTTGTTCCTTCCACACCAGTGCTCTGGAAAAGGAAGCTGTGAACAATTCTGGCTTCTTTTCAGCCTGCTCTTAAGGGCAAAACTGCTGCAGGTTTTTCTTTTGTACTGGGGCTTTCTGCTGCTGTTTGGAACTCCGAGTTTTTAGAACTGATTCTGGCAGCTCCAACCGTGCAAAAGTTGTTTATTCCCTTAAAAATGGCTCTAACCTGGGAAACTCAATATCCTGGGAAGGAGTCTGGTTCTGATGATTAATTTATTCTTAAAAACCGAGTCGTTTGCAGGTTTGGAGCTGGTGATTTTTGGTTTGCTGGCTGGATTTTAATGCTTTCCCCCCCTCAGTTCCCCAGGTACGCCGAGATCGTGCACCTGACCCTGCCCGATGGCACCAGGAGGAGTGGGCAGGTGCTGGAAGTCAGTGGCTCCAAAGCTGTGGTTCAGGTAGGAGCAGGAGGCTCTTTTTCCATCATTTATTAATCAGGATTAATAAATCATGAACCAAATCAAACCTGTCTGGAGAGGTGTTCTTTTTAAATGAAAACAACCAAGTCACCTGCTTATTCCAAGTGGTGTCAATAATTGTAAGAGATTTCTGGCAGTGCACGGTGACATTTTTATTTCCACCCCCTCTGGATTTATTTCCACCCTACTGGATTCCTTTGCTGCTGGATTAAAGGAATCCCCTGGAATTTGCAGTTTTGGATTCCAGCTC